CTGTCGAGTGCGCCTCTCATTGCTATGTGGATTTTCACTGCCGAGCATGCCTCTCACTACCCTGCGCTTCATGTGTCACATGATTTTGCTGTGCGTCTCCGACTTCAACAAGTTGCTGCCGTACACTCCTCTCGTCACACGACTAGCACCACGCATGCCCAAACCACACACTGTCGTGCACTCACTATTGAGCACGTTCACTGTCATGCGTGCTCCATTGCAGTATGCGCCTTGACGACCTCTTCGATGATGCTGTCAGATGTGATACCTCTGTACTGCCATGTGCAACCTCTTGCCGCTGCACCCACGCCTTTTGCATGCAATTTCATGCACGCCTTCCCTAACCGGCCAGTCCATGTGCGCACCAGCAGGCCCATTCTCCATGGAGTTTCTTCCACTTCACATCTCCCAGTGAGTCTACCCCTCATTGACAACCCACATACATGGCGACTCATACACGGTCCAGTTGTATGACGCTAAACTATAGTGCATGTCCTGGCCGCATGACGTTAAGCTGCTTTGCGCAACGGTCCAGTTATATGTCCCTAAACTATAGTGTACGCCACATGATATTAAACTGCTTGCTTAATGGTCCAGCTGTATGACCGTAAACTATAGTGCACGTCCTGGCCGCGTGACGTTAAACTGCTTTACGCAACAGTCCAGCTGTATGACCTTAAACTTTAGTGCACATCCTGGCCGCATGACGTTAAACTGCTTTGCACAATGGTCTAGTTGTATGACCATAAACTATAGTGTACGTCTTTACCGCATGACATTAAACTGCTTCTCACAAATGGTCCAGTTGCATGACCCTAAACTGCAACACACATCCTGGCCGCATAACGTTAAACTGCTTTGCACAATGGTCCAGTTGCATGACCTTAAACTGTAGCACACGTCTTGTTCGCATGACGTTAAAATGCTTCACCCAAGTCCTGGTGGCATGACCTTAAATAAGCCTCCATACACATGTGCCCCCCATTGCACACACTTTCTTTATGCCGGCCTCTCCGTGCACTCATTTACACACCATCTTCACTTCATCCCCAGTGAGTCTTACCCATGCTAACGAAACTACGAGCCATTCCATCATCCATACTCGGCGTCAGTTAGTGGGTCACCCATTATCCACCTTCTATTCAACCACCATCCATCATCTATAGATAGTCTCGTGCCATCTCCACCAAATGAGCCAATCCATCACCATACTCATTCCATAGCCTTCATAGACTGTAATTCACCACCATCATGGTCCAGTTGCATGACCTTAACTGTAGCACACGTCCTGACCGCATGACGTTAAATTGCTTTGCCCAGGTCCTAGAGGCAGGACCTTAAACGTGCCCCCACAAAAAGAACATGCCTGGTGTAAACCTGAAAAGGGAACGCCATGAGTAAAAATGACAGACGAGCATGGTCACGAAGCTATCAGTAAAAGCCTTCCGTAAATAAAAACTAGACACGGTGAAAACCCAAATGGGCACTATGAGCAAAAATGTAAAAAAAGGCAAATATGGCCGTCAGGTCATAGGCAAAAGAGCATAATAAAAAGGAGGTTGGCGAAAACCATCTTTACGGCACCGCTTCCCCAGTCTAAGTGAAAACCCGCAAAGGGCACTCGGACCAATAAACCAGGTTGATACAACATTTGTCTTCACATGCAACTTCAACCAGCATGTCAAGAAAAAAAACCTTGGTAGCAGAATGCCCTGTTATCAGGACCCAAAAACAAGATCATTCACAAGGCAAGAAACTATCATACCAAGCATCCTACAAAACCCAGTATGGCTACCAACAATGTCGCCAAAATGTCCAACGGGTGTAGATGTTAAAATCTTCCCTCAATATCCACAACACGAAAGAAACTGTCAAACTAGGTCAATACCTGCCCACAACAACCAGGGTAGAGCCCTTTCAAGGCCGCCTCGACAAAACCCCTCCATGACCGGGCCAGACGTTTGGGCAGGCCAACAAAAAGCCCCTAACTGGACCCGACAGGATGTGATCTCAGAGGTACCCTGCTTGTCAAAGAAAACCTGGCGTAGCAGCAAACAACGACGCCAAAACGTCCAATAGGGTGTAGACTTTAAAATCATACATCACAAGCAAGAAACTGTCGTACCAGGCATCTTGTAAAACTTGGTGATAACGCCGCCAAAATGTCCAACAGGTGTAGACATTAAAATCATCCCTCAATGTCCCTTCCCCCCCGAAGTCTCCACGATTGGATCTGCAACAACATCCAAATGTCTGAGCAGCTTGGTTGCAACGTTACGTGAATATTCCTTTGACGTTCATGTGATTCTGTGGTCAGGAGAAAAAATAATAATAAACCCGAAGGGTAATTTTCAGTATGTTGTCATTCTCGCATCTCTCGAATCACAATATTCAGTAGGACAAGCTGTTTGAGGGAATTTTTTTTCATCACCTTATATCCCTGATGCGGAATAACGAGAAGCCAAGATAATAAAGCCCTAATCTAGAAGCGAAATTTCCAACAATCTTAGAATGACCCAAAAAGGATAAAAAATGTTGATAAAGATCTCCTAAGAACACTTGCCAAGTTTTGTCGCAATTCGATGAGCTTAAGGCAGTGCAGATGCAGAAATAGTTTTGGGAAAATCAGCTTCTATCGCCCTGAAGTAAACCTTATAACTACAGCTCTATCACTAGAGCGTTAAATTATTTTAAGACCATCGCCATTGGATTCGGAATGTCCAAAAACCCATAGTGACCAAGTTTCGGCTTGATCAGACTTTCCTGGATCAAGTTATGGCCAAATTACCCGAAATGGGTAGGTCACACGCTATTACCGTGCACCCTCAGTGTACCAGCTCCCATTAATGGAAACTGTGTTCATGGGTTTTGGGCTCAACTTTGAAAGACCGTTTCTCTCTCATCCCAAGCCAGATCAAACTCAAATTTTACGAGTGTGTTCATCTCGTCAACTCGAGCATTTTGATCTGTGGCACGACTCATGTCGTGGCCTAAGTCGAGAGAAAAACACGAGAGAAGATCACGAGTCAAAGCAAGGTTGCAGGTTTTTCCGTAGGAGCATACCTTGATCTAGCAGCCACATCATGACGCTCACAAGTCGGATCGACCAAAAATCAAACCCATTACAAGCACAAGGTTCGAGGCTTCATCAGAGCTGAACCTCGCACATGATGGAGAATCAGATTTGACATGTGACGAGTACGAAGTTGCTGCACTTTTCGGCCACCAAAAACCAAATTCCGGCCAAAAGATCAAAAATGGAAAATGGTCGTTCGGGCACTAAAACCAGCCACGTTCATCACCAAACGCTCATGACGACTTGCTCGTCGATATTCAATGACGAAATCATAAAAAAATACCAAGAAATGGGCATAGTCTTTAAACAAAGATTGCACGTTTGTTGAGATTTTCGCACTTCATGATCATAGCCCAAAGACTCGATCCATGGCTCGAAAGTGGTATCAAGACTACCGTTTTCCTAAGCTGATCAAGAAAAGAATCATCTTTCGGTCGAACGGAGACCGGAAAGACCCCATGGAAGATTGCAAGAGTTCTTGGGCATAGCAGGGACTCAATTTGAATTTCGTGGATTGTTGGGGCAGGGGCAAAATCATCATTTTGCTCCATTTCCTTAGATTTCCTTTAATTCTTGTAATGCCTAATTTTTGACATTTAGGTTAACTTTTGATTGTAGACCCACCTTTGGGCCCCACTTCTATATAAACAAGCACGCACCTCATGTAAAAGGAGCCAAGTTTCAGCAATAAAAATTCTACTTTTTGCTTGAGATTTTAGGTCATGTCTTAGAGAGAGAGAGAGGAGAGAGGAGAGAGAAGACTTTTGGTGGTACCTCTGGGCATAAGGTAAACTCTTTCTCTCTCTCTTCGCTCTTCTTTCCCTCTCTTCTTTCTCTTTGTTCTTTCTCTTTCTTCTTTCTCTCTATTTTCTTCTTTCCTTTTCTCTCTTTCTTCTTTCTTTTTCTCTTATTTTCTTCTTTCATTTTCTCTCTTCTCTTTTTCCTTTTCTCTCTTTCTTCTTTCCTTTCCTTTCGCTTCTCCTTCTTTCTCTCTCTATTTCTGTCTCATCTCATGTTTTCATCTTTCTCAGTCAGTTGTGCGGGCAGCGCATACTGCCGAGCATGGCGTTCTCTTCCCTCCCCGTCCATCGTGCACGACAGTGCAAATGTCGGGCGTGATCTTCCTCTTTTTTTTTCTCTCAGACTGTTGCGTGTGACAGTACATACTGCCGATCGTGGTGATCTCTTCCCTCTCTGTCCATCGTGCACGGAAGTGCAAATGCCGTGCGTGATCTTCTTCTTTTCCTCAGCATGTCGCGGGTGGTAGTGCATACTGCCGAGCGTGACGATCTCTTCTCTCTCTATTCGTTGCGCATGGTAGTGCAAATGCCGAGCTAGACGATCACTTCTCTCCCTGTCCATTGGGCACGATAGTGTAAATGACGTGTGCGATTTTCTCTTCTACTGTTGCGCACGGCAGTAAGCACTACCAAGTGTGATTTTCCTCCCTTCCCACTTTTTGCCCTGCACGACAACACACATTGTTGGACACGATTGCCTTTCTCTCTCTTCTCTTTTTGCTTGTTTGGCCAGAGGGCTGGTTGAGCTTTGCACTGTTGTGCTAGTCCTGATGTCGAGCAGTTTAGCCATTGTGCCGGACTAGTTACCGTTCTCGTCTAGCTGCCGCCTCAGACTAATCCGTGCTAGGACAATTGCCGTGCCAATATTGTTTTCGAGTAGTTTAGCCGTTGTGCTGGACTTGTTACCTTGCCTATCTAGCTGCCGCACAAGACCAGCCACTGTACTAGATTAGTCGTCACATTCATCTGGTCATTGAGAAGTTTAGCCATTGTGCCGGTCTAGTCATCGTGCCCGTGTAGCTACCGCGCCAGACCAATTGTCGTGCTAGTCTTGTCACTACGAGCGCCTAGTTGTCGGGTCAAACGACTCCATTCTTCAAAGGTTCAGCGAGATCCAAGCTGACCTTCACTACTTTTGTTGTTCATTTTCTTCTCCTTCTCCTCACGAAAATCTCTATCCTCTGCCTCAGAGGAGTTGGGTGAAATCCAAACCAACCTCTGTCCCAATTTTCTCTGAAGAACCAGTTGAAAGACATACTCTCATTTTCTCTGCCAGTTCCTCTATCTCACCCCTTTTCTTTCTATCCTCACAGTAGAATCTTACTAAAAGTCTTTCGCCAAAGAGACACCGTAAGGCTGTCGAATTGACATAGACCCTATTACAGTATTCCTTTCATTTTTTTTCGTGTACACACGCACATGTGTGTTCACTTTGTGACAAGGTGGGGTCCTCAGACCAACTTGTCTGTACTCTAATGTATGTGTGTGTTTTACAGGTAAGAAGAAAACATGTCAATGGAGACGATTCCAAACTAGCCACAGGCCAGGGGGGCATTCTTCGTCTTCCAAGAGGGCATCACGGACCCACGTGAGGTGAGTCCCGCCTTGCGAACCTAATTCCTCTCTCATCGGTTGGTATTCCTGCCCATGTCTTCTTCACACAGTTCCTGAGAGAGCGATCTCAGGTCCCTGGTCCATCTCGAACCCAGAACCAAGCCACCAGGTCAACTCAACCCGGAGGGTGAGATCAAGGTACCTAACCAGACAACCCTATGTTTGTTAAATAAATAAATAAATTAGAACAATTCCTATGTTGGTAAAATGAAGCTAAGAGGAAAATTGAAAAAAATAATAAAAAGACGAAGGGGACTGATCTAGGACACAATATTTGAGAAAATATGAACCTTTATGTATTTTCATATTAATTTTTACATCCATAAGTAATTTTTCCTAATATTAACTGTGTCCATTTTAATTTTTTGTTGGCCTACCATTTCGTCACTTTCATCTTGAAGATGGCTGCGACATACTTCAGAGGAAACAATAGTGGAAATGCATTTCCCTGACCTAGGAATAATTGCAACATTATTTCACAATTACAAGAACATGACCTAAGACTTCTTTTCCCACATTATTTCACAATTACAAGAACATGACCTAGGAATAATTGAGTTACTGCCTCACATGGTGCTCTGTTAGCTCTAAATTTTGCATAATTGCCTAAACAGCCCCCAAAAAATAACAACAAAAGCAAAGAAAAACTCTCACCATGTCGTGACTGGAATCAGTTTTGCACCAAAATGAACGAGGAATTCTTGGGAAGATAGTGGGTTGGAAGGCTGCTCGTCTAGGTTTTCTTCGCCGACGGGGACACGAGAATGCGGGAACAAGACTCGATTACTTTCCCTCCTTTCGGCCTCTTCGATATCGTGATCCCCTTCAACCTGTAAACAAACCAAGAGATCCACAAGTCATCAGATAGGGAAGGTCAGCATATGGTGATTAATGGAAGGAGAAATGTGTGAGAAAAACCTCCTGGACCTTAGTCGGAGGTCCATCGTTCTATATTATCGCAAATGGAGTGCAAGATGGACGCGCTTTCCTCGAGGTCATCACCATGCAACTCATCAAACCCCTCTATGCCCTCATCGAACGACTGATCACACAAGCCCATAAACCTTTTTACCATCATGCCATAAAACACGCAAAGAAAAAAGAAAGAACCATTCTCCAATATTCCGAAACCCAAAATGGAACAGGAAAAGATTAAAACAAAGATTCGCAGGAAAGAAATGGAGGAACGAAGGAAGAATCTCTACAACCAAAGCTTAGGCGTCTTCGGTGGAGTTGAGGATATCCGCCTTGAATACCGTAAAATTGAGCGCAGTCACTAGCCTGGTGGGGTTTGCACGTCTCAGTTCCGCCTTAGCGATTCTCTGAAGAGAGGCAAACACCAGATCAAACCCTCCTCACTTTCTTGAGAAGACATGAAGAAACCCCAAAAATTGATCTAGATAGCAAAGAAAACCAAGAAATAAGAAAGAAATGCCCCAAGAGTTTGTTACCATGGCCTCTTCATGGTTCAATTGGGCTTTGTCGGCCTCAATTTTCTTTTGTTCGTCAGTCTTGAACTCAGCTAGGTGCCGAAAGTAGTCGGCCTTCATCTGCCGGTAGTAGCCCCTGGCTTCGGCAGAGTCCTCATATGTGATGAGGTAGGAGTCCAGAAGTTGCTGGACACGCTCACAGATGGAAACGATCTCGGACTCGATTCGTGAGAGGTAATCCGTAATGGTAGCCAAGCAGTGGGGTTCGTCCTCGACCCTTTCTATGTCTTTAATCTTGCGCCATGAGGCCCTGCGTGGCCGGACCAGGGATTTGAAGGCCAAGACCAGCAGGTTGCGCTCCATTGTGTTGAGTGGTCGATGGCCCGTTGTGCATGAGATGGTGGTCATGTAGTCAGCCATGTCGTCGAATCTGTCTACCATCTTAGTCAAGATCGCCATGAATAAGTTTTCCTTACGAGCCTATTCCCTTTGGGCCGGAATGACCATGGCCGCTTCCACGGCCCATCTCCTCATTCTTGGAGAATTCCAGAATCAGTGAGTGTGTCACAAAGAGAGAGAAGAGAGAGAGAGATAGAGAAAGAGAAAGAGGGGAGAGCTCTGGGTCGAGTGAGTTGTTTATGTATATGAGACAGACAGACAGACAGAGAAAAGGATGAGCATTCTGATTTGAGAGAGAGAGAGAGAGAGAGAGAGAGCGTTACATTGCATTGGGGCTTCTCTGTCTTTGCCTGGCAAAGTAATGCAACGCCATGACAATTTTCATGCTCTCGCTTGCAATTCTTGGGCTTCCGATGCGAAATTGGACGATTGATCCATGGTTACGAAACTGAGAGAGCATTTTCGTCTCCGTTAACATGAAGAAGCGCGAGGATGTGGCCGTGACCTCCAACTGGAACATGGTGGTACTACCACCATGGCGTTAGCTCCATTCTCTTCACATTTGACTCCTCCTTTGGTACTCTGATTGTCTTGAGGACCAAAATGCTCTTATAAGAAATTATCCAGAGAAATATTTATAGTTAAATGATTTGATAGGTTTGCAGCCTTATCATAATAAGCAAAGCCTCACCACAAAACTTACCAAAAATGGTAGTTCTTGCTCCGAAAAATCTTCAAATTTATCATCTCGGCCATGGTCATTATGGTTGTCAAAAGAAAAACATTTGGATTTCAAGATCTAAAAATAGTGAATTTTATAGCACATTATCTAGACCATCCAATTTGCATTAAAAAAAATGTGTTCAAGATCCTCATGTTTTGTACAATTTTTTGAGCTTCAAATTTCATAATCAATATTGAAAATTGATTTCAGAGCCATCAATGTTTCATTACATCTAGGCCTCATAGCAGCCGCATCCAATTATTAAGGGGAAGTCACAAAAGATTGGAAAAAATTTATATAATGTTGGAACCTTATACTATAGAAGTAAGGTTCATGTCAAAAACCTAGTAGAAAAGAGTACTTCGAATTTGGAAAAACTTTCGATTAATTATCTCGACCTCGAAATTTGAAGATCCTAAGAAGAAAAAAGAATTTCAAGTCCTAAAATAGTGCATCTATTAACATGTTACCTGGACTATCTATTTTCAAGATTTCAAGCGTTTATAGATATGCTCAATCGGCATGGGTTTTAAATTTTAAAATTACACAATTAAGGTTTAACATGAATTTTCAAACCATTATAAGGTTCCCAACTCTGAGAATAAATCTTCCCGTAAAATTTAGAGACGTATCACCTTGCTTGTATACATAAGGTGGGCACCTTATACTAACATCACCCTAAAAAGATGTCCTCCTTTAAATAATTTGTAAAATACTCGAATTCTTCTATAATTACATCTACACCAGTGTTCGCAAAATCGAACCAAAATGGTTAACCAGACATGTGCTCCGGTCTAACCAGTAAATCGGTCGATTCAATCGCTCTAACCGGACATGTCCTAAACGATCAAAAAGTATTGAAACAAATAAAAAAGATATAAAAAAATATACTAAAATATGAAAAGCATATAAAGAATGTGATTAAAACAAATCACACTCAAATGAGGTTGAAAATTAATGAAAAAATGGACTTTAACGAATCAATAACGAATCGATTGTGCCCAGGGGTATTTTTAAAATTTTCTAAAAAAGATGGAAAAATATGAAAGTGATTATCAATGGCCAAATTGTTTTTTAATATTTACCATAATGTAATAAATATTAAAATAGTATCAAAAAATTGACTTGACAAACTCTTTTTTTTTAAACGAAAATAAATAAAAAATTAAGTTATATATAATATAAGCCATTCTTTTTTGTCTACTAACTAGTAATGGTATATTGGTTAGTGGATATAATAATAAATAACTTTTTTATGAGAAATTTCTAATTCAATTCTAGTGGGCCAGTAATTTTTTTGAAAGAAAAAACATTTATTTAGAAGAAATTTATAGTTGGTGATTTTTTTGAAGCAAAAGAAAAAAAAAGTTGCCGGCGGGATTTGAACCTTAAATTCATATAAAAGGTAACCCTCAACGCTAACCAATGGTTCACTCTTAAATATTTCATGTAAACTTATAGTATTATTCTATCTAATGTTTAAAATACCGGTTGACCACCAAAACAGCTCTAAATCGAAATTGGAGGCTGGCCAGTTCCAATCTAACCAGGAGATTAGTGGTTAGATTGACCGATTTTGTGAACACTGATGATCTACATCCACATCTCTTTTTTTCTTAAAATGCCTTTAAAGTATCACGATTCTATTAGAATTGTATCACCCTACTTTTACCACGGCATGACCTTTTTGTCTCTCATTTGCTCTCCTTTTTCCTTATATATTATGAAAATAGCATTCCAAACCATGAATTTCATATTAACTGGAAACGGGTATATAATTGTCACATGTTTGAAGAAATACACAAGCATAATATTTAAGGTGTTCTTTATTGCTGTCCTAGGTCATTGCAAAATAAAGTTGGAAAAGTAGTTTATGCATCAGGGAATGCATTTCCACTATTGTTTCATCTGAATCAGTAGCAGCCATCTTGGAGATGGAAGTGACGACATGGCGGGCCAACAAAAATTAAAATGGACAGAGTTAAAATTAGGAAAAATTACGTATGGATTCAAAATAAATAAGAAAATACATAAAGGTCCAAAATGCTCTTATAAGAAATTATCGAGAGAAATATTTTTAGTTAAATGATTTGATAGGTTTGCAGTCTTATCTTAATAAGCAAAGGCTCACCTCAAATCTCACCGAAGATGGTAGTTTTGGCTCCAAAAAATCTTCAAAATTATCATCTTGGCCTTGGCCATTGTGGTTGTAGAAAAAATTAGGATTTTAAGTTTGAAAAATGGTGTATATTGTAACATATTATCTAGACCGTCTGATTTGTCTTAAAAAAAAATATGTTTCCACATACTATGCAATTTTTTGAGTTTCAAATTTCATAATCGATATTAAAAATGAATTTTGGAGTCATCACGAAGATTTTTAATGCTCAATGCAAAGCTTCAAGGTGAGTGTTTATTCTTTTTCACAACGCTTACGCCTCATTGGAGATTAAAGGGTAGTTATAAAATATAGGAAACAATTTATATAATATTGGATCCTTATAAAAGACCTAATAGAAAGAAGTGCTTTAAATTTGAAAAACCTTCCGATTAATCATCATCTTGAACTCGAGATTTAAACATATAAAGAACAAAAAATAATTTTAAGTTCTAAAATAGTGCACTTGTAACAAGTTACTTGGAACGTCTATTTTCAATCCGCACCGCTTTTAAATTTATAATTGTATAATTAGGGCTGAACATGGATTTTTAAACCATTGTAAGGTTGTTAACTTCAGGTCTAAATCTTCCACCAAAATTTAGAGATGCACCACCTTACTTGTATATATAAGGTGGGTACCTTATACTAACCTCACCCTAAAAATTGACCTCTTTTAAAAAAATTGTAAAATACACGATTTTTTCTAAAATTACATCTACACCCACTTCTCCTTTTTTTTTTTTCCTTAAAATGCCCTTAAAGCATCACGATTCTAGTATAACTGTAACGGTCTCTACTTTCACCACGGCATGACCTCTTTCTCTCTCTCACTATACCTCTCACTTTGCTCTACTTTTTCATAATATACATGGAAATGGCAATCCATATTATGAAATTCACTATGTCTGGAAACAGGTTTCCAAATTGTTACCTGTTGGAAGAAATATACAATCATAATATTTAAGGTGTTCCGCATAATATTCAAGGTGTTCTTTATTGCAAGTCAATATTTAAGGTATTCCCAGTTCAAGGTCATTTCCTTATCATTGCAAAATAATGTTGGAAAAGTAATTTGTGCATCAGGGAATGCATTTCCACTATAGTGTCCTCCGAAGCATGTCGCATCCACTTTGGAGATGGATGTGACACAATGGTAGCTCAACAAAAATTTAAAATGGAAAGAGTTAAAATTAGGAAAAATTGTGTATTGATTGAAAATTAATTAGAAAACACAAAAACATCCATATTTTCTCAAATATTGTGCCCTGGTTAGTCCCCTTCATGCTTTTGATATTTTATCCAATTTTTCTGTAAGTCTGATTTTGCCAACATAGATCTGATTTTAATTTAATTTTTTGTTTTTGTTTTCTCGAACTTAACGTTGTGACCTAGAATTAAGTCACTTATGGATGGTTATAAGGCCAAGGAGCTTGAACCATTCTCTTCGTGGCTTATAGACATATGGCTGTTTGAAGGTATTTTTCAATACTTGTATCCACGATATGAATAAGGAGAAAGCATTTCACGACCTATGTCTGCAGGTACCTAAATGCATGTAGACTACAGAAGCTGTAGGACAATAAACCCTGAACCAGAAGTGAAATTTTTGAAAGTCTCAGAATGGCCCAAGAAGGTTCAAGATCATGCTTAAGGGTCTCCTAAAAACACTTGCCAAGTTTCGTCGCAATCCGACGAGTTTAAAGCAGTGCAGATGACAAAACAGTTTTGGGAAATTCCGCCTCTATCATGCTGAAAAATAGATCCTGAACTATAGCATCATAATCGGAGCATCAAATGATCTCCAGATCATCGTCATTGGATTCAAAATATTCTAAAATCCCTGAGTACCAATTTTTGACGCATTCAGACTCTTCTAGAGCAAGTTATGGCCAAATTACTTAAATTAGGTAGGTGGTACACCGGCACACTCAGTGAACCAGTTTCCATTAGTAAAAATGGTACTTCACCATTTCGACGGAAAAATTTCCATAGTTGTATCTTCCTTATGTTGGGTCGGATCGAGCCCAAATGTTGGGAGCATGTTCGCCTCATCAACCTGGTTGATTTGATACGTGGCACGAGCAATGACACGGCCTGAGTTGAGAGAAATCAAAGAGAGAAGATCGCCGGAAAATT